TATATATATATATTATGAATATCTACAGTAATAAATTCGAAATTATATAGCACCCTTTTTTAAAAAAAATTTTCCCGAATATTATATGAACCTGGAGATGATACGATTCGAGCCATTAATCAGTGTCATATCGGGGCTAAAAAAGTTGTAATATTTGCCCGATAGGCTTTATTTCGACTATGCAATATTCCATAAATGGGTAAAAGTGCATTTATACGTAGAACGTTCATTTACGGAACTGTATTGCGTTAATTCGGTAATCGCTAATTCGAGATCATATGATTTTTTGAAGGACCTGATTTTCAAAATAACGCCATGCATTATTTCGCGCTTATACGGTAACTTATTATTCGATCATATAAAATATTAACATATATTATTGGAATATCAATTTGCCAATGTTAGTTTTTAATTTAAATGTGTAGTTGATTTTTTGGGCGAAGCTGAAATTTATAATGAACAAGATGTTTGGGGGAACATCCCGTAATAAAATAAGAGACTCGAAGGATAAACAAACTATATCTGTTCATTATTAAAGTGTATTTATATTTATTCCGGTTTATTGCTTTAGATAATAATTCGAAATGAATTATATATATTATTGATGATAAAGGTTATACATTTTATAAATGTTACATAGATAAATGTTACATATTGTGTGAAAATGAGTATTAATTAATCATATAATAATTTAAATAATCTAAATACAGTATATTAAATTAACTTCTATTATAATTTGTCAAAACCTTTCATTGCAAGTTCATAAGCCATGAAAGTTGATGCATTAACGGGACCAGCACGTAGCATAACAGTTCCAAATCCTTTGAAAAATCCTCTTAATCCTTCATACCTATAAGTTCGTGAGAAACAATCTAAAATACCTTTATATTTTCTGGTCTGAGGTGTAAAGCCATCCGTTTGTAATTTACTTTTTACCATATCTAGAGGATAGATTACCAACCACATTCCATATCCTGTAAAATAGATAAATTTAAAAAATTTGAAGAAGTATTTTTCTTAAATCTGACTGATCATACAATAAACATAAAAAATACCTGCAAGAGCACCAAATAAATAAGACTTCCAACTTTCAATACCTCTTGGATTTCTTCCATATCCCTCTGAGCGTTTCAAAAACTCATATAAAAAGAAATATGTACCATATCCGTGAAACTCACGCACCATAGTCATCATTTGTCCTTTATAAATTCCACGAATTCCATATGAAGAATAAATTTTTTTAATGCAATCAATTGGTCCAGAATATAACATGGACTTTTTAACTGAAGAATTTGATTGTGTAGGTGTGATTTGAACCTGAAGGCCTATATAAATTTTATTGTACGTTTATATTAATGTAATTTAGAGATTTAGATTTCTTCACATAATTTATCGAGGTTCTTATTCATTCTACGAAAAAGTAACCACCAAATCCTTGAAATTCACGTATCATAGTAATCACTTGACCTTTATAAATTCCGCGAATTCCATA